CCCGCCACACCCTCTCACCCATCGCTACTCAACTCTCCCGCTCTACCAAACTCTCGGGCCACACATGCGTCAGTCGCAACCTCCTCTCACGCCATCGTTCCATATGCGCAGTCGGCAACACGCCCACCTCCCATTCAGTTGGGTCACCCCTCGCTCACAAGTCACCCTTGGAGGCAGCAGCAACGTCCCCCCCCCCACCCTTGTCCCACAGCCGCCCCACAGATGCAAGCTAGTGCACAGTCCTCAGACTTTCTCAGATCACCCCCACTGGTCACACTTCGAGGCTTGCCCCCTCCCCCTCCCCTTCAGCTCGCAGTACCAGCGCACCTTGTCTAGACGGCTGCAGATGGTCTCCACATCTCCAACCAACCCTCAACTGGCCACACAGTTCAGCCCCCGCCTCCCCCTAGCTCCGTAGCAAGTATGGGAAGCCCTTGGTTCAGCGGCCCACAGAATATGCCTCAGCCATTACCCACATCGCCCATCCATCAAGGTACCAATCACACAGCGACCCAGCAGCAAATGTTGCCTTCTAACAATGCCCCCCTCGCTATGGCTACAGACAGTCAACAGGCAGGCCAGTTGACAACACACGCAGGCTATCCGCCCGCGTACCAGACTGGCCCCCCTCAACCGTTCAAAACCTACTTTAATGCAGCATATGACACGCAAGGTCATTCAGCGGGCACCCAAGGCGATAGCGTGCTACAGCTGCGATCCCACCCACTAACGGTGGATGGACATTTTGGGCCAATGGCGGGAGGACATGCCAAGTCAAGCAGGCAGACCACGACCGATGCTATAATGAGGGACACCAGGCCGGTCCAACGCACTCCGATGAAACAGAGGAGGATCAACGAAAGCGGTGATGGCTTGATCACGCAGGAGGAGGATGAAGTGGAGATTGACTTCTTCTCTATTCCAACAGCTTCAAAGGCAACTCACCAGGCGCATCCGGCAGGCACAGCAACGGTTTCAGTGGCGACAGATTCCGCTGCCCCAACATCGACTCAGCTTCCCACTGGTGCACCGACGGTGGGCGAAGTCAGTCACCAACTTACGCTGCTATGCTGCATGTTAACGCCCCAAGGCACCAAGTTTATGGCCAAGAGAACGGATCAAGGACGGCTGGCTATTCCAACAATAGCAGTCAATGCCACTCCAACTACGAAAGAAGCAGTCAAGTCCTTTATCGTTGATCGCTTTCCGTTCCGATTGGTGCCAAGGGTGTGAGTAGGGCGCAAAACTGTAGCAGCTCCACTCGGCGGCAGTTGGCACTTTTCGATAGGCGTGTTGGACGCAAAGATTACCTTGGACACAACAACCTTTCTTGCCACGCAGGGAGTAGTCTGGCTACCCTCGTCCTGGCTGGCGAACACGGCGACGGAGGAACTCCAGGATATCTTCCTCACCCCTGATGTTAACGCTAAAATCGTTGCTGACTTCTGCAGCTCCCTGACTATTGATAAGCAGCCCAACTCACCAGCCTTCCGTAATTTACTCCTGGCACCGTGGGGGGGAGCTGCAGAGGCAGAACCAGCAAGAAGACAGAAGGCGCCAGTCAGACAGCAAAGTGAAGGAGCTCTCCGGATCCAAGAACCAACCGCTTCAGCCATGCCAGATCCCCACCCTTAAAATCGCCACTTGGAACGTACGGGGCCTTGGGGACTTGACCCCCAAGCACAAGAAGGCCCGACTTAAAACTTGGCTGCACGAGCACAAGATCCAAATATGTTTCCTGCAGGAAACCTAGTTGGATGAGGTGAAATTACAGCAAACTGCAGCTTGGTGGAATGACCCCCCGATATGGGCACCGGCGGATGGCACACGAGGAGGGAGTGCCATCTTAATCCACAGGAACCTTGAGGCCGAAATTCTGGAACAAGACGCGGACATTTGGGGACACTGGGCCTGGGTCAGGATTCGTTTGGAAACAGAGGACTGGGTCCTCATGACGGTTCATGTACCGTCCGAACCTGCGGAGAGAAGGTCATTTTTGGAAGAACTCCCAGCAGTCATTCCACAGGCACAAAACTTGGTTTTTGCGGGAGACTTCAACGTAGTGCTGGCCCCGGGCCTGGACTCGCCGGAGGTAACCACAAGGAAAGCGGATGCAGAGACACTCTCCAACCTGATGGAGCAACAGCAACTAGTGGACACCTTCATAACAACTCACCCTTTGGAGGCAGGCTACACCTGGTTTTCTTCACAACAAACCGGTGATCGCCTGCCACCAAAGAGAAGGTTGGATTTACTGTTGGCCAAGGGCACAGCGTGGGAGGCCCTTACCACAGTCGAATGCTATATCGAGTACCTCTCAGACCACAGACCACTGGTGGCCACTTTTGAGCTAGCAGATAACTTGACCAGAGGACCCGGAACCTTTCGGTTAAATACATAACTCCTTAACAACCCAGAGGTCCTGTAATGGGTAGAGAATCATTGGAGGGACTAACTTTGCACAAAGGAATGGTTCGCAACGGAGGAAGAATGGATACAGGTGGGATTCCGGGCGGTGAAAAGGGCTTTGGATGTCTTCTCACGAATACAAGCAAGAGCGAGACGACAACAGGAGCAGCAATGCCGATGGACTGTTGAAGAGGCAGAGACGGAGCTCGCTTTGAACCCACCTGTCGAGCTATACTGGCAGCGGAGAAGGAATCGGGCGCTGCAGCAGCTGGAGGATATACAGATTCAGCAGCAAATTCTCTGGGCCAAGCGAGCACAAGAGAGAGGAATGCTGACAGGTGACCGCATGACCAAAGAAACATTCCAGCAACTTTGTCCACCACGTTCACATGCGCTGATGAGGGAGCTCCAACATCCTTTTCACTCAGAA